ACTCCCTTTCTGAAGCTGATAACAATACCTCCATTTATTGAGTGGTTCCCTATGTGGCAGGCTCTGTACTCAATGCATGACAGACATTGTTTCCACTCAATCTTCCCATCAATCCTACCAGGTATGCATTATTATCCTTATTTTCAAATGAGGAAAACAAAGGTTAGGCCACAAATGTTTATTGAGCAACTACTATGTGCCAGACCCTGTTCTAGGCCATCAAGTTGAAGCTTAGAGACATAAAGCAACCTTCAGTTTGGGCACAGGCCTGTCTCAGCTCTTATCATGATCCCATGTCGCCTTACTGGGAAGAATATTCAAGAAATATTTCAAGTATTTGTATCACAGAATGTCTTCCTCTTAGTTCTTTATAGATTTTATTACCATCTTTTCATCATAGGAAACTCTCAAATCATTGAAGTTTATATCTGGAGGGGAACCTAGAGAAGATCCTTACATTTTCCAAAATTTGAATTCTCTCAACTAAAATGTTCAAATAGATGTAGAAATTCCTGTTGTCTCTTAAGATGTGTGTCAATCAGGGGCGCCTGGGTGGCTCAGTGGGTTAAGCCTCTGCCTTTGCCTCAGGTCGTGGTATTGGGGTCCTGGGATCGAGCCGGCATCGAGCCCTGCATCGGGCTCTCGGGGAGCCTGCTTCTCCCTCTCTCTCTGCCTGATTCTCTACTTATGATCTCTCTCTCTCTGGCAAATAAATAAATAAAATCTTTTAAAAAAATGTGTGTCAATCAAGAAAATATTGTTAATTTTTATTTAGGAACTTCAAAAATTCCCACAAAATTCATACACGTGGAAGATATGTCACCCTGCATTTTGTTTGATTATTATCTTACGTGAGATAAGATTTGAGCCTAAGTCTTATCTTTCTTTCTCTCTATAAAGAAGTAGTGTCTAGCAATTACTTTTTCTTTTTTGTGAAAAATTTACTTCAGATAATGTAAAGGGAGGAGACTTTTCAGAGAGGTGATGATGATTACACTCCAAGAGCTTTCTTTTTCTTTTTTTTTTTTAAGACTTTTATTTATTTGAGAGAGACAGCGGGAAAAAGTTTGAGAGAACGAGTGGGGGAGAAGCAGACTCCCTGCAGAGCAGGGAGCCCGACATGGGACTGGATCCCACAACCTGGGATCATGACCTAAGCTTAAGGCAGACGCTCTGACTGAGCCACCCAGGCACCCTAAGAGCTTTCTATATCAATAGCAAAGCTATATGTAATAGAGCTGTGAATTCGGGATGTGTGTAAGGTAGAGATTGTGCCATGTGGGATGTGTGTAAGGTAGAGATTGTGCCATGAACTGTCCTTAGTCATCTTTCCAGACTGATGGAACTCCATTTTTTGAGCAAATGTTATTTTGTTAAGTAAAATGCCCATTTAAACTCCTATACAAAGGTTATAATTATAGCAGGAAATTGTTGGGGATAGAGGAAGTTAAATTTGGTTGTCTTGTCATACATCAGGAATGATTTCTTGGAAGTCTAGTCCAGATTTTTGACTGAGGTTTGCTGTTTCCCTTTGCTGTAGTTTCAAGTAATAACTTTCCAATATTTTGGTTCTGACTGGGGGATTTATGCAGGAGGTGGGGCATAGAATCAGCCCTTTGTGCTGGTTTTGCACCAAGGAACCCCAAACGACAGTAGAATGTGAGGCTATCACTTAACATTATATCAGGACATGAAAGGCTCAATGTGAACATTCTAAAGCAGTGCTGTCCTCTAGAACTATAATGCTAATCTTGACAAGTAAGCCCTGTATATAAGTATACATTTTATAGTAGTCATATGAAGATGTAAAAATAAACAGGTAAATTAATTTTAATGAAATATTTTATTTAACTCAATATATTCAAGATATTATTTCAACATGTAGTCAATATAAAAATTATTAGAGCTACTTTACATTCTTTTTTTGTACTAAGTCTTTGAAATCTGGTGTGAACTTTACACTTACAGCCCATCTCATTTGCGATCAGCCAATCTTATTTTAAGTATTTCAAGAGCCATATGTGGCTAGTAGCTACTATATTAGCCTGTGCAGGGTGATCTCTAGAGGCAGCTGTTCTCTGAATAACTACACTTAGAGTTTTCCTTTCTTAAGCAGGAAAGAAAAAAGTAATCCTGCTCAGGGTAATATCAGCTTCTATGTTCAAATAACTTTTTTGCAGCCACCTACAAGAAACATCCCCCAGCCTCATTTGATTTTTTTCAAATTCTCCCACCCAAAGAGAGTGGTTGCACCGCTTTTGGATTTATAAAAGAAATAAATGAAAGAAGTTTGTTAACTAAAAGAAAAGAATTCACTTTTCTCTTTGGACAAAAGGAAGGAGAATAAGGAGAATGCTGTTTTTCTAAATCAGTTCACAAATACTTAATCAAGCGGATCCTAATGGAAGACGGCTGTGCTAGTGGTACCTAGTGCATTATTAACAGTTCATTTCATTCCTAATTCCTGCAATGTGACCACTGTTCACAGTAACTTTTAGAAGTTATTCTTCTACTTCTTGAGGTAAAAAGAATAAAAGTTGATACTGAAATCAACTTTTCAGTATACAACTTGATTTATTACAGTGGAGTAATTCACACGGGGCAGTGTTAGACACATAACTGTCTCCTTAAATATAAGGTATGTTTTTTCCTAAAGCAAGAATGTTAGTGGGAATAATTGATCACTGTTTGGTGGGCTAATTTACCTTAAACTAACCAAATTGACCAACTCCTTTTCGCTGCAAGGAATGGTAATGTGGCTTTGCAATGTAAATGAAAGATAAATTAGGTACTTTCTACATAAATGCAAAACAATGCACAACTCCTTATCCTCAAACTGGTTTTACCATCAGGAATTACGGAGATGGTGCTGCCAAATTAGTTGAGTTTGGGTTCAGACTGGATTTGCAGCACTAGAGTCAAGCATGTAGGGGGAGGTGACAAAATCACGAACTAAGTCCTCCCCACCCCCCACCGCACAGACCACGCTGAGCCTACCCAGATGTTGCTCAACCCCGAGCTGTCCCCCTGAGTCCAAGGCTGTGAGAGAGGGCGCGCAGTGAGGACTTCCGGCCACCTCCTCGGGCTCCCTAAGCAGATGGAGCCTCTTCTGGTGGCCACGATGCTCCCGGGCCTCGAGCTTGTGCCAGAGAGCGCGCAGGCAAAGGCGGCGGAAAGATTTCAACACCTGCCTCTCTCGGGCCCAGCGAGAAACCTTGCACCGCCCGCGCAGACCTGGCTGGCCAGAACTGGGGCTCTAATCTCAACCTAACACCTGCGTTAGGGAGGAAGCCAAGGGCTCTCCAGGTGTCTGGGTCCCAGGATAATGAAAGCGAGCTGTTAAAAGGCGTGTACCGGAAACGCAGCGGGGGACGCGCTGTGGCCGCCGGGCGTGGGAGGACCGGGACGCCTTGGCCGAGGCCTGAAGGGATGAAGGCACTGGCTGTCCTGGAGATTTCCCTTTACTTTTTTCCCTTTTCCTTCTAGAGGGGGTTGGCCAGTGGCTGCAGTAGCTTTCCACTCAGCCCCGCGACCTTTACACAATTTTGCCCAGGCGCACTAAGCTCGCTAGGCACCTGGCGTTGGGAACACGAGGTAGAACCCACACCCCCACCCCCGGCGGGACTCAGTCCAGACGCCCAGGCCTCTCCCCACAAACTCTTCGTCCTCTTGTCTTCCGTTGCCGTCTGGGAATTGGGTTTTCTTAACCCAGGGCTTCCCCGTCTTGGGCTGGAGGAGGAGTTAAAACCCCTCCCTCGCTTTCCCTCCTCCACCCTCGGCCAGCCTGATTTTTTAATCTAATCTTTTATTTAAAGTCAACAGAGGAGCAGGAACCCCAGGTTTCTGCCAACATGATATTTTAAAATAATTCCCCAACCTCTGCTGAGAGGGGCAGCCTCAAGGAACCTCCTTGTTTCCTTCTTCGTGCAGGGAGTGGGGGACTTCGAGAGTCAAGACTGAAGCCTGAGGGCTCTCCAGACTTTGGGTGGGGGGCGACTCAAGCAGGACAAATGCAGTACAAATATTAAAAAGATGACACCAGAGCTTCGATTTGGAGAGCGTTGAATCATAACCGAGAGCCGAACCTCCAGGGGGCACCAGGGCACAAAGCCTTACGTGTCCCCGTCGTGGGGGACTTTACGGGGTGGGGGGGAGGGCAGGTGAATGCCTACCGTGTGAGCCTGGATAGGGCAGGTTTTGGTCCATTAAAGGATATGCCCATAGACACGACGCGCCCACAAACACCCGCCGAGGAGTGAGACCCAAAAGACACTCCACGCCCACTCCCCAGGTCTTTGGCACCGGACTGTGCCCACTGCGCCTCGCCCATCTCCCTCCTCAGCTAAGCGGGGACCACTGTTCTCTGTCCTTAAGTAGCCTCCGACCTGCTCAGACCCTTAGCAGTTCAAGGCTCCCCGCCTTTCGCTCCTCTTGCCCTTCCCTTCTTCTTTCCCCCGCCGCCCGCCGACGCCCCCAGATCTCTTGGGCTCGCCCTTCCTGAAAGTAGGCGAGGCCCAGAAGCAGAGGCTGGGGCGAGGAAGGAGGGAGGAGCGAAGCGCGATGGCCGGGGGCGTGTCTTCTCAAGCCCCGCCCCCGGGTGCGCGCGGCGGCGGCGGCGGCAGCCGAGCCTCGCTCTGAGAGACAGGTATCGCTTAGGCGCCATGTTGTGAGCGGAAGTCGGGGAGCGCGCGGCCGCCGCTGTTCTGCTGGGAGCGGGCGCGGGAACCGGCGGGGGGGGGGGGGCGGAGCTGTAGTCCCGGCGGCGGAAGGAGGAGAGGAAGAAAGGGGCGAGACCGGGTGCCGGGCAGCGGCGCGAGGCTCTCGCTCGGCGTGCGGACATCTCCAGCTAGGCGCGCGGCGTTCGAGGGTCGGTGTAGGCGCCGAGCCCTCTCCCGGGCAGCCGGTGCTGGTGCTGCTACTGCCGCCGCCGCTGCTGCTGTCGTGGGGCTCGGGCGGCGACAGAGCGGGGCCGGCCGTGGGGCGGGCGGGGAGGGAGGAGGCGGTGAAGGCGGCGGGCCGGGGGGGAAGATGCCGCTGGCGCAGCTGGCGGACCCGTGGCAGAAGATGGCTGTGGAGAGCCCGTCCGACAGCGCTGAGGTGAGTGCCGCCGGGCGGCCGGGGGCCGGCGCGCCCCTCCCCTCGCCCCCGCCGGCCAGCTCCCCTCCCTGGAGCTGGCCACTTGGCCCCTTCTGCTCGCGTTTCCCCTCTGTCTGGGATTCCGGTTTGGGTAGTTGGGGTTGGTCTGTTTGCTCTTCTGTTCCACCCGCACCCTCACCTCCCCTCCCTCGCTCGGGGGGCTGTGGTGTGGTGGCGCGTGGGGTTTGGAGTGGGCGCTGGGGCTTTGCAAGAAGCCGATTTTAATCAACTTTGCGTGGGGGGGGGAGCGGGAAGTGGAGCGGGGGCCGGAGAGGAGTTGAGAAGTTTGGCCCTGCCTGGTTGGGGGCTTCCCTGGACCCTGGCGACTTTGGGGTGTAAGGGAGGGATATGGATTGGGTTCAGTGGGGAGTAGGGACTCTCGAGTCCGGCCAGGGGCGGGAGTTGGTGCTGTGAGTCGGGTGCGTGGGGGCTGGAACGGCCCAAGGCAGGACTGGCGACCTGCAGGGGTTTCGGGAAGGGGTGCAGGACAGCCAGTGGTTTTTGCCTCCCCCCAGTTTGTCTGCCGCAGCGGTTTCTGGTGGTGCAAAGGAGAAAGTGGAAGCTTGAGGTCCTCCCCCTCCCCCATTTCTTAGGTCGCTGAGCTCGAGGACCCGGTCCGTAGGAGCTTTAACTTGAGTTTCCTGTCCTTGGAGGTGAGAGGGTGATTTTCAAGGCCATCAGTAGCTGCCCTGAAAGGCTTTCAGGTTTTATTCCCCCAGGATCTATTCGGTGACCATCCCTGAGACACCTAATCGAGTGCCAAATACCCAAACAGTATACCTAAAGACGGCAAAACAATTTCCCCGGGCACGGCACAGCATCGAGCTTTCGCAGCCGCCCCTGTCCCAGCACCAACTCGGGGTCTGAGAAAATAATCCAGGCAAGACCCATGCTAGGGCATCAGCGCTCCTCTCCGGAGTGGAAAATCAATTCCTGATGGTGGCATGTCCGTGATTCTCCCTTCTTGACTTTTTGCTGTCTTCTGTTCCCGCAGCGGACTTTGGGGGATTACAGGATGATAGGTTGCGTGTGTGTAATAGTGAGTGACCCCATTTCTGGAAAGCATGACTGAAACGCGGGGGTGGAATGGGGCAGGCTCTGATGAGTGGTGTACTTGGCGGCAGCCGCTGCCCTGCCGGCCTCCGCAGTGTGAGAGGTGGATAGGGTTACTGGTTACGTCAGTAAGACCGAGGCTCAGTTTGATCTGAGATGCGGGACACTTGCATTCCCGGGTATAATGGAGGGGGAGGGGGATCAGTTCAAAGAGCTTTTCAATTTTTTCCTAGTCACCTCTACTGCTGTATAAAATGTTTACTTGCTCTCCTTAACGTGAGCAGAGTTGTAATAGTGCTTACGGCTGGTAGTTAGTATTTTGTGACTTGGATCATATTTTAAAAATCTAAACTAAACGGTACTGTATAATAGAAAAGATATTGATAGATTTTTTTCTAAGTATTTTAAAAAGGAAATCACGGTTTTAAGACTAGCAGAATTACGTTTAAAATTGTGTTAGGCTGTTTAATAGTATAGATGTTTTATAAGAAAATTGAATTTAGAATGTTTAATCATCCTTTGAATGGATAGTGTGAAAATTAGTTTGCACATGGGCTCTTTTCATTCATCTTTTTCTTCAGATTTTATTTGCATTAAATAATATAGCTAAAAGGTTTATAAAATAGGTTTTCAAATTGCTGACCTTGTGAAAAGAAATTGAATTTGCTTTGATCCTGATTGTTACATGCAAACGGTAACATTTGCTACTCATAATCAGTCCACATTTCTGCTTGGCACGTATCAGTGTGTTAAAAAATCATTTAAAATTCCACCTTATCCTTTTTTCTACATAGCATACATTTGAATAGGGAAGGCACAAAACTGATATTTATTTAGCACTTACTATATGCCAGATACTGTGGTACATGCTATTTCATTTTATCCTTTCTATGACCCAACAGAGTAGGATTGTGATCCTCATTATTACAGATTAAGAAACTGGATCTCCGAAGTTAAGGGCACAAAGATTATAAATAGTAAATGGCAGAGGCATAATTCAAAGCCGGGTGGGTATAATTCATGTGTTTTGCTTTATATTAGGGTAGCTGCTTCAAATCCTTTGTGGAAAAATTCACAGTATAAATAAATAAGCCAGTAGTTAGAGGTCATGTATTTTTCAGAAACAGTTACAGTATTATTATAAGCAGTCTCACTTGTTAAAGCCTAGTTATTTCAGTTACTGTCATAGTTTCCAGAACCTGGCAGATAGGATTCCACAACTTGCCATTTTCAAAGAATTTTCTTGATATTTTGGTATAAGATATGTCACACAGAGCTGGTGTTGCCTGGATTAATTTTAAAAAGATCTTTTTAAATTGCTTTTAGATATTTTGTTGCCTTTGGTGGTTCATCTGTTTCAAGTAAATTACTTCTGATACAATTTTGGAATTGAAGCTAGTAAGGAAAAGGTTGAGAATTTTCATTCAGAAGTCTAATATTGGACTTAGTATTATGCCTGCTATTATGCCATCTCCTCCCCAGTAAGGCCATATCAGAAAGTAATTATATTTTACCAGAGTAAAATCATTTTTTTGAAAGACGTTTCCTTGAGTAAATACATCAAATTTTTTTCTCCCCAGACTAAAAGTTTTCAGAATTGGTCTCGATAGGAATTTTCATTTGTGGTCTCGTTCCTAGTAGATTGTGAAATCTTGAAAGTAGAGTCCTTTTTTCTCTGTGTTCTCAGCGCTTAACACAGTGCCTAGCGCATATATATTTTGGACCCAGTAGATGTCCACTGAATGAATTATGGTCAGGAATAGGGTGATTATCAATGTTATTTCTGTTCTTATCATTTTAATCTTACAGTGAAATACGAGCAGTCTTAAAAGACCTCAGTACCTCCCTGAAAGTACAGGCAGTTTCTTCATTCCTTTACATAGCCTTCCTGCTTTAAGACCTCACATGGGTCTCATGGTGCTCAAAACAAAAAAACCCTTGTGGTTAACTCAAACATGGGTCAGAACATGATAGGCTAGAACTAGGCCAAATGTTTAAAGAAGCAAATTTAGGATAATAAAGGAAGTACTATGTAAGCAGTCAAGGTTAGTACAGGATTAAAAACAAAATAGCGTCCTAAATTGTCCAGATGAATTCACAACTCTTTAAGGAGTTATTTAAAGATGCTAATATGTTTTTGAGTAACTGACTGTTTAGAAAACAGGTATCAAGGAATTGTGACTATTCTGTAAATTTCTTGCCACTGCATTTACTGGATCATAAGCCTGACCTAAAATGACACTTTTTCTCAGTTTTCAGTAAAGGATAAATGATGGTAAATGTAAATAAGAGCAATATTAATTAATTTAACCTTAATAAAATCGAGGTTATTTTTTGCTTTATAGAAATGTGCTGTATAAAAATAGCTACCTTGAATTCTTTTAAATAGCAAGTACCCATAATACATTAAAATATTAACTATGTAAATTTTTTTATAAAAAATGAGACCCTTGTGTTGGAAACCATCTTTAGTGGATATGCATCCATTTTTATCTTCAAAGATTATATTGGATTCTGTACTGTTTCTACAATATTGATATGAGGTTTCTTATTTTTATCTGCAGGGAAAAACATTCTGTTAAAGTATGATCATTGATTTTGAAAAAATGTTTTATTAAGTTTCTTCCTTTTCCTGTTTCATTTCTACCACCTTTCAGGTTTTTTTCTTTCCCCCAAGTGAAGATCTGAGGAGAGGACAGGTATTGTTACATGTCAACTGTCAATAGTAACTGTGACACATTACTGAACACTTCACTGTTTTCAGTGATTATGATATAAGATGTCAGTTTTTGTTAAACTAAAATTTAGGGAAGTTTGCTTTATTTTGGCAGCTCTTCCTGTACTTACTGGATTGATCCAAAATGTGAAACTTCTTTGGTACATTTAAATTAAGATAAAGGGATAAACTTAAAGAAACGAGTATAGGCAGACTCTGCCTTTTCTTTAGTATGTTTCTGGAAATCACAATGAGTATATTCTACTTTTATTTAAGGAGAGTGGCATAACTGGGATGTGCACTCTCAACCAAGAATGCGATAATCAAACATATAGATCAAACATGTAGCAGATCATTTATCAGAAGTCTGAATTGCAGAACTGTAAAGATTTTTTTAAAAATGTATCACACATTGAAACATTCGTACCATTGTGATCATTGACAAGATTTGCTCTAGAGTTCCATACTCAGGGACATGTGATATAACAGGCTGTGAATGTTGGGTGATGTCAAGGGCACCAGTTTCCCAATGCAGACTGGATGCTTTAGACCCAGTGATTCAGATTACAGTGTACAACAGTGACATCTTGGTGGTCTCTTGGTAATGCATGAGTGTGATAGAGCTCAATTGTTTATGTGTTTTGGTGGATAACAAGTTTTAAAGCATTGGAATGCAATTGTGCAAATCTATATATTATACATGCAGTTCCCCAATTCACATAATAGAAAATAAAAACAACCAATTGCATTTTTATACTTGGCATTAAATGTCTCCCTCTACCCCACTTCAGATTTGATATAGTTTCCTATATCATTATCTGGAACAATTAGCAGATCTCATATATTCCAGTTTATCAATTTAATACCAAACAACATAAAACCAAAGTAAAACAGCTGGAAATGTTAGTTGTTGTAAAATGTGTAGAGTTAAAAACAACAACAACAACAAATATATGCATTCTCTGAAGCAGATTCAGGATGAAATGTATCCATATAAGACATAATTATTATTTTATACATTTGGCTTATTTTAAGCAAATACATTAGTTACTACCAATCAAATATTTCAGTTTTGCTTATCTTCTTAAAATTTAGAAGGTACTTTTTTAGATAATTTTGATGTACAGGGAAGTGTTAAAGAACATAAGCTTTGGAGCCATAAAGACCTGGGTTTGAGTCCTGGCTCTGCTAC